AATGATAATAATAATTTTGAGCTTTAATTTTGAGAACTCATCCATTATAATATGAGGAGATGATTTGAGCAAAAAAGTAAACTGTTACCAGAGGTGAAATAGATATGTCTTGAAGATGTGTAATCTTTTATACAGGTTCATGAGCTTTGTTCAATAGATGATGTTTAAGAAAGGTATTCACAATTAAGATAAAAAATTGTCATCTTTCTTTTACCATTCGAAAAATCATTTATTGTTACCCATTTGAGCCTATTATGATTTTTTTTTCTAAAGAACCCCAACCAAGGATCACCCTCTACACTGGGAGGTAATTTTTTTAAAATACACAAAAGGTCTCAAAGATGGAAAGAGAAAGAAAAACAAAAGATAAAATAAATGTCACATATGATTTGGGGTAAAATAATGAGAATCTTTTGTGTGAGGAAAAAGAAAAAGTAGTGAAATGATGTGGGGGCAAAATGCCAACTTACATCAAATGATCCTTTGGTCTTGAACCTTTTTAATACATGTTTTGAGCCTGTTATATCTATTTCTTTTATGACCTCTCATCTTGACCTACATTACAATCTTGAAAAGTCTATTTGGATTAAGTGTGAATGCTCAACTTGAATGATCATATGTTGGGCGAAGGTATGCTTATGATGAAACAATGAAATCATGCTACATTGCTTTAAAGTTTGATGTGTGAAAAGATATCAACAATGGGTGAAAAATGAGAAAAAAGAAAAAAAGATGATGAAAAAAGAAAAAATGAAAAAATGGAGAAAAAAATAAAGAAAATAAATGAGAAAATAAAAAAAAGATTCAAATTGAAAACCTGAAAAGGTGATTTGGGTAGAAAAATATCATGTCAAATGGTTCACATGGGTGGAAGATCAAAGACATCTGAAGATCCCTCAAAGACTGAGACAAAGTTCGCCCAGCTCAAAATGACTTCAACAGTAAATGGAATGAGTTTTTAAAAAAGAATCCTAGATTAATGTTGAGAATTATCTGGATATTCATCATTTGGACATACCATTCATCCCAATGACATGTATCCAATTTATTTCCTTTCTCATTTGTTTTGTACCAAAATAGATCTTCATTGATTATTTTTACTATAATTCACCTTGTGTTCTCTTATTGTTACATCCCTAGAATAAATCAAGAAAATGTATGAGTGCATTATATTTGTCAAGAATTGAAATGATAATGAATGAATGAATATGTGCTTAAAAGAGTCTTGCATTCATTTGAAAAAAAAATCTAAGATGATGGTGGTAACAAAATGAAAAAATGGTAGAAACCTAAAAGAGATAATTTAAAAGGATATATGATGTGACCAAATGAAGAATATGATGATGAATTGGATAATAAAATGAAGATGGGGTAAATCTTGAAAAGTGGTATAATCAAGTGATGAATATGGGAATGTATTGGTTATGGTTAAGTGATGAAAATGATATAGAGCAATAGACGAAACTGGTGTTGAGAAGCTTATGAATGATGACTAAGTGATGAGTTTACAAGGATGAATTGATCGACATGACTTGCAAGTTATGATTGAATGATGAAAATAATCAGTGAACAAAGTTTGTTTTGGAATGGTTAGGGTTGAGAAACCTATGAGTGTGACCTAGTTCAGAATGGTTAATGCTGAGACGCCTATGAGTAATGACTCAGTAATGATGGATGAAACTTGTTCTAAAATTTTTTAGTGCTGAGAAGTCTATGAATGGTGGTCAAGTGATGATCGATTGATGAAACTTGTTTCGAAGTATTGAGAAACTAAACAAGGAAGACATGCGAAATGGTAGAGTTTTGAGATCCATATCACCACAATTATTTAAAATTTTATTACATAGACATCTGCATTACATACATCATGGTGACATCGCCGCTTGAATAGTACATGCACATAATTTGATGAATTAAATTTTGTTTAAATATGCATGGCACTATGAGAATATAGGTTGTTGTATTTACATCATTAAGAAGGCATTTGCATATTTGGTCATGACATTCATTCATGCAAAATTTTGAGTCATTTGAAAAACAAATTGTGAATATTTTGATGAGAATTTTTGAGAACTCAAATGAGAATCTTTAAGTTTCAAAATGAGAATCTTTGAGGAGTGAAACCCTAAAGTTCTTCGAATGTAAATCTTCGAACTAGAATGAAGAGTTTGGAACTTTTGGATGTGAATCTCCAAAATACAAAGCTTCAACTTTTTGGATATGAATCTCTAATTTTTTTAAATGAGAACCTTTGAACTTAAATGTGAAACTCTAAGTTTTATTGCTGAGCCTTTGAACTCAAATGAGAAGCTTTGAATTTTTGGATGTGAATTTCAAGCTTGTCAAATGCGAACCTTTAAAAAGCCTTGAACTTTTGGATGTGAGCCTCCAAAATTCCAATGAGGATCTTTGATGCGAGTCTTGCAAGTTGTAAATGCAAATCTTAAGATCTTGCAAATTTGAACGAAACTGAAATTTTGATAATCAAATTTCAGTAAATTCTTACGAAGTTGAAAGGTTCTTACGAATCTAAACCTATGAATGTTGAACTCAAATTATGAATCTTTGAGTTCCCATTACAAAATTTCTTTAATCACAATCTATAACTCCTTTGGACATGATTGTCAATGAGCCATTTATTTTTCCAAAGTCACGGTGCTTCTATTTAGAGGAGCAATTTACTTTCCAAAAGTTGAGGTGCCTCTGTTTAGAGGAGCAATTTATTTTTTTAAAGTCGTAGTGTCTCTATTTAGAGGAGCAATTTACTGTCCAAAGTTGTGGTGCCTCTATTTAGGAGAGGAACAATTTACTGTTCAAAGTTATGGTGCCTCTATTTAGAGGAGCAATTTACTTTCTAAAAGTTAAGCCTCTGATTAGGAAAGCCATTTATTTTTCAAAAGTTGTTGAGCCTCTGATTAGAGGAGCCATTTATGTTTCTCAAAGTCGTTGAGCCTCTGCTTAGAGGAGCTTTGATCGAAAAATTTTAACCAAGCAAAAAAAAAAAAAAACAAACAAAACAAAAAAAAAAACAAAAACAAAAAAAAAAGTGTCAAGTTGAGTCTTGAATGGGTGTCTACGTCTTTGCACAATTTTTTGTGAAGCAAAAATTGTGTAAAGAGGGGTAGCTGTAGACACCCTATTTAGTTCAGACCTAAGCCCATTGGGCCTGATCCAATAAGATTTGGGTCTAAGCCTATTAGACCCGATTTAGGATCCAATTAGCTGGTTCGAATGGGCTTTTATTTTTATTTTCATTATTTAATATATTTTTTTTTATTTTTATTTTTTTTCTATTAATATTTTTATTATTTATCTACTTTTTTATTTATCTATTTTTTTATTTATCTAATTATTATTTTTTTGTGTTATCTATTAATATATTTATCTTTTTATTTTGATTAATTTTCGGTTAAGATTATGATAAAAAAATTGAAATGAATTTGACTGTGATTTAGGAATTGACAGAGTTGGGATTGGATTCAAAGATTGAATCCAAATCCCAGAAAGAGTTGGGATTGATCAGAAACTTTTCTGATCAATCTCTATAAATAAGTGCTAGAAGAACAGAAGAAAACACACAGAAAAAAGGCAAACACAGAGAAGAAACAGAAGTTAAAAAAGGGTTTTGGTGTGTTAGAATCTTGAGCCGAGTCTTCGAGCTGTTTTTCTTCCTCAAGCCGAGCCGAGCCGCTAAGCCGAGCCGTTCTCATGTTTTTTTATTTATTTATTTATTTATTATTATTATTAGATTAGATTTGTTTAATATTATTTTATTTTTATTTTTATTTTACTTTTCTTTATTTTTATTTTCACTTTTATTTTATTATTTTATTTTATTTTCTTTAAATAAAATCCAAAAAAAATATTTTTGGGGAAAAGTTGAAAGTATCAATTTTTCTTAAAAGTAAATTTTCAAAAAAAGTTTTTTTTTGAGGAAAAGTTGAAAGTATCAATTTTCTTCGAAATTAAAGTTTTTAAAAAAATATTTTTGGGGAAAAGTTGAAAGTATCAATTTTCCTTAAAAATAAATTTTCAAAAAAAGTTTTTTTTAGAAAAAGTTGAAAGTATCAATTTTCCTCGAAATTAAAGTTTTATAAAAAATATTTTTGGGGAAAAGTTGAAAGTATCAATTTTCCTTAAAAATAAATTTTCAAAAAAAGTTTTTGAGGAAAAGTTGAAAGTATCAATTTTACTCGAAATTAAAATTTCCAAAAATATTTTGGGGAAAAATTGAAAGTATAAATTTTTCTCAAAATTAAAATTTCTAAAAAATATTTTGAAAAAAAGTTGAAAGTTTCAATTTTTTCTGCACAAAAGCAGTCATTTTTTTTCTTCTTTCTTTTTATTTTCTTTTTAAATAATCCGACGATGGAGCTTCTGCAAGTGAAACAGTAGTTTTCTTGCATACTCTTGAGGTGAGGGAATTTTCTCAAATTTTTGCTAAAAGTATTAGAGTCAATTGAAAATAATTTCCAGCAACTAATTACTTGGTAAATTTTTAAGGCTTATTGGATAATACAAAATTAAGCTGATACCATCTTTCGATGGGCGTTGTGAGGGTGCTATAACCTTTCTCACACGTAACCGAACTCTCGAACCCTGCTCTAGTTAGTAGACCTGAACCTATTCTTTTAGGGACCCTTAAACTTAGGTGTTTCCTGAAATGATAGATTCTTTAGGTGATCAATCATACCTAGATAAAAAAAATTAGTGACGACTCTTTCAAGTTAATGTCTAGCGATAGATCATCGGATCTAGACGTTATGACATCCATTACTAGCTATCGCTGCTTATCATATACTTATTTCAATGAACAACATGCTGATCAACAGTCACTTGTTTATGGATTCTGAGTGAATCGCCTTTGAATCTTGCAAATTATTCAAAGTATCATAGTCTATTACCAAAAGATGTTTCATTCTAAACTCCAAGTAACTTTGTAACATGCAACAGACATCGTTGATAATTAAAATCAGTCATTGCTCGTCTCCTTGATAAACATGCAGGTTGAATGGCGGCGGCGCAATGATTGTTCTGCGCCGTCTCTATTTTGCGTATTTACTTTTACTCCCTGTGGTTGTTGAATTTAATGGCCTCTTCTGTTTTTCATTCTCTCTTCTCTTATCACCTTCGGCAAAATTTTGCTAAGCAAGGAGCTTTGGGACTTAGGGGCCAAGGCCTCTCTGCTCTTGGGTTGGGATCATATTGTTTTTCACTCAATTTTTTGAATGAAACATATTCAAATGAGAAGTATCATATTTACGTTTTTAATTGTTTTCTTTTTCGATAGGTTGCTCTCTAGAAATTCAATTGGAATTATAAAAAAAAAATCATATAATTATAATTTAAAGAATAATACTATAAATCAATTTGGACAAGTAAAAGACTTTTAAAATAAATCTTAAAAGCATAATTTATTTCAGTTAATTTATACAATTTTTAAATAGTGATATATAAATTTAAAATTTAGAATTTAATCTCCAACTATTGTTAAATTTTTTTTTTATTCCCAACTTATTTGATTTTGATAACCAATTAAAATTATACCGAAGAGTCAATTCTAAAAAGTTATTAGTTAAAGAGAAAAAGTATTCTGTTTTATATAACTTGCCATAAAATTTGCTAGAAATGATACTTGTTAATTCTTTTTTTGATGATAAAGCTATACATTAATAATTATACCAAAAGTAATGTAAACTGACATGAATGAAAGAGTCAACATAATGCTTCATGTACAATTTTCATCAGAAAATAGAACTTCATGACTTGCAAATTAACTACTCTTTACTAGGTCTATATATATATATCAAGTTTATTTTAATTTCTCCTATTTTGTCCTAATTGTTTGACTTTGCATGTAGTACAAGAAAAAGCTAATTGTCACATAAATGATTATTTTTTATGAAATTATTAGTACAAGTCAAAATTATAAATCAAATTAACAAACCAAATAACTTGACAAATCTATAGTAAAATTACACAAATCCACTCAATCTTTTTTATTAAAAAAAAGTTTAAAAGAATTGATTGTCATAACCTACATGTTGGTGGTGGGAGCTATTTCTCTTGATATTTATTTATTTATAACTCACACTATCTCTAACTGGACGATTCAAAATTAGGCAATGTTCCTGTAAATAGGTTGTATTTCCATGCTTGTTGCTCTTAAGTTTGTTGGGGTTGTAAGGCTTATTACAAGCAACCCTTTGCAGAACACAATATTCTTTTATTGGTTTGATCAAACTTTAGTTAGGCTGATCCAAATTCATCACAAGTGTATTCAAATGTGTCATATGTATCAGTACATATCAATTTGCTTGTGTATTTATAGATACACTATCAATTTATAATAAAATCAATTTTTTATATATGTATACATATATATATATCGATTTTATAATTAATTAAATTGTATTACAAGACACGTACGAAGTATGTATGATTTTAACAATTGGTTGTATGCATATTAATGTTAGATTATTTTTAATTTTGGAAGAGTCAAAGAAAAAAAAAAGATGTCCATGTTAAATTTGTAAGATGGACATATCACTTAAAATAATCAATGAGGAGATCTTTTATTTTATATATTTGAGTTAATTATGCTTTTAATTCTTGAATTTTGAGAAACATACAGATTGGTATTTAAAGAAACAAAATATACAATTTACACGATAAACTTTCAAATAATGTATCGTTTTAATCCAAATTATAGTATTGTTAACTTAATTCATCTATATGGTATCTATCAAGTATAATTTTATTAAATGCATGTTATTTATTGAATAAAATTGTTAAATATTTTATAAAAAAACTTTATGTGAATGTTACACGATGAAAAATGATTGATTGATCCTATACATTTTTTACAGTTCAAGTAAATTAAAAAATATATCTTTTAATTTATATTTAAAAAGTGTTGATAGTATGTGTGGTAATTATATAACTTGATAATATTTATCAAATATCACATATATAAGTTGATATGATTAGCGGGATTAGAGATTAGGTTACTATGGTATATAATTTAAAAGTTTAAGATAAAAATTATACATGATTTAAAAGTTTAAAGTGCAAATTATACATTTTAATTTTTTAGGTACCAATTTATATTGTGATTTTGTTCCATTAATCCTTTGCTTCCACACCACTCAATTGTATGTCCAATTGAGTTTTGTGCATCAATGTCCAAAGCCTTAATTTATCATTCTCTGCTTTTTGATATATGAATTAATTACCAAATTCTCATTTTGTGAAGACTACAAAAGGCAATCCCAAAGTATTCATTTAAGGTGGAATTCTGCCTTTGGTAAAAGCAGAATCCATGTTAAAATGCAATGGTTGGATGGGCCTTTTTCTTTTTCTTTTTCTTTTCTGGAGAATAGTGAAATTTCTGCCTCACTTAAAGTTTTAATTATTATTTACTTCATTGCCTGTAACTTGGAAGATTCGGGCGAGTTACTCGTTGAAACGTGTTTTACAGGTTTAGAACTAGGTCACAATTCTTGCAGGAAGCTCAATTTGCTTTTGAGCTAATTAAGCAATATTAGATCAGATCTTGGAAGCGTTTTGTGGCAAAGCTAGCAGTTGTGATGCTTCTTACAAGTAAGTGTCGTATTAATTATAAAACATAATGACATAAATTTCTGATTATCAAGAACATTGATGATTAATTACGTTAAACTTTTTCGAAATTTCAGTTGCTTTGTCTCTCATCTACGTCGAGCTCAAGAATTTGGTCTTGAAGAAAATATTTACAGAAATTACAAAAAAGTTTTGGAGTGAATGGGAGCTTCGCTTGATGGTTATAATCAGCCTTATTCTCCAGCTTGTTCTCGTCATATCTGGGAATCTTCGACGAGGATACATAGGGAAAAAGTTGCCTTATGTTACAATAGCTGCATGGTTAGTGTATTTGTCAGCAGATTGGATGGCAACTCTTGTGCTGAGCACCCTTCTTAGTGGCGATGTTAGTCTGAAAAATGGCCTTATTGTATTTTGGACGCCCTTTATTTTGTGGCATCTTGGCAGCCCTCACAACATTACAGCTTATTCTTTAGAAGACAATGAGCTGTGGTTAAGACATTTTCTTGGCATGGTGTTCCAAGTTTCAGAGGCAATTTACATCTACATTAGGTTTCGATCAGACACTGACCTCAATTTTATGGCTGCTCTGATATTCATTGCTGGAGTTTTCAAGTATGTAGAAAGGATATGGGCTCTCAGATCTACAAATGAGAAGCAGCTCATAAATTCCTTGTACCCTTCTAAAAGAAAAGCTACCAGAAAAGGAAAAATGATCAGAATAGGGCTGTCTGAATCCACAATAAACCGTTGTTTTGAAGGCAAAGCCAATTTTTCTGAGCTCAAATTGCTCCGTGAAGCTTATTCATCCTTCATTGTTTTCAAGCCTCTCTTTCTCGGCCTCCCATTTGGGCTTTCCGCAAAATTTTATGATGACATGGTTTACATCAAGTCTAAATCTGCGGAACAAGCCTTCAAATTGGTCGGGACTGAACTGGGATACCTTTATGATTTGCTCTTCACCAAGATGCCCATACATCATCTTCAGCCTAAAGTGAGTTTATATCTTCGTGCCTTCTGCTTTCTGTCTGCTGTGTCTTCACTGATTGCTTTCTCAGCAATCGTGGATAAGAGTGTGCATGCAAAAGTCGACATTGTCGTGACATATTTGCTGTTGCTGGGAGCTATTTGTCTCGACATATATTCATTTATAATGCACGCTTTCTCCACATGGGCAATGGTCCGGTTGCCCATTCCTGAAAACAAGGTACATAAGTTGTACTCCAAGGTTGTTGCTTGGAGGTTGAATTCCGTTGAATCCAAGATGGCAATCAAATCAATGGCGCAACATGATCTAATAAATTATTACGTCAAGGCCAATACAAATAAGTTCAACGATGCTGTTAAGATTATTGACACTGGTAATCTTCTACAGAAGTATTGGCATACCAATTGGAGGGCAGTTGATTGTGAATTGAAGCAATTCATCTATTCTCATCTGAAAGAGAAACGTCAGAAGTGGGTCGAGATGGGTTGCAGACTTGAAGATCTCGAGAAGTTGTTAAATGAGAAAGATGAAAATTTGTTGGATGAACTAGGTATTGTTAGTGAGGATTTGAAACTGGACATAACAGATTTTACACAACGCATTTTTATTTGGCATTTTGCGACAGAGCTTGTTTACTACGATGATGTTGGCAGTTTTCGAAGAGGTACGGTGGGTTCATTTTGCCAAATTGCCAAGTCCTTGTCTGATTACATGATGTACCTCGTAGTCGTCTGTCCATTGATGCTGCCTAAAGGGTTCAGTGAACTGATAAACAAAGTAAGCTACATCCAAGCCACAAAATTTTCCCAGGAGAGGACATCACCAAAAAGATTTGCATCGGTGGTGCTTGGGCTTAATAGAGATTTTCGGGTGGAAAGTTATAGCATCGAAGTGATAAGTGGAGGGATTGCGTTTGCCCAGGCATTGCAAAGTGTTGTAACTGAGCATCGGTGGGATCACGAAAAGAAATGGGAAATGATTAGTAAGATGTGGATGGAGATGATGACTCATACTGCTAGTCATTGTTCTTGGAAAGAGCATGCTGAACGATTGAGGCAAGGTGGAGAGCTGCTTACTCATGTTGCACTTCTTATGGCACATCTTGGTTTAAGCACTCAGATCCGCAGATATGAGGTTCCAGATGAGGACGAGCTCGATACACCTCCATTCACACTTTAAACACAAAATGTGAATGAGCCTGATTTTTTTTTTTAATTTATTTATGAATGTTATAATTTATGTCTTGTAGATGCATGATTTCCTGTATGATCTTCTGATTGAATATCCAATAAAGATTTACCAAATACCGGCATGAAAGCAAGAGCTTGGGCCTATCTAGATCGAATACCGTGTCAGTTCCACTTCCACCTGTGAGTTGTTGGGCCTAACAGACTCTTTCTTATGGCGGTTGTAACAAAATCATCAGATGGGGAAACTTTTTAAAATATCATAATATGATTAAATGTTTAAATCAGGCTTACTTTTATATTCCACTTCGGCAAGCCCATCTCTCAGCAATCAAACTGGCTGACAATGGCCCAACTGAGGGTTCTGACAGAAACAACCAAAAAAAGAGGGAATGAAAATAAGGCATGAAAGTAGCTTGGTTTCAGCTAGCATTTTCGGAAAAAACAAAAAAGGAAAAGCTCCCTTTAATAGTGGATCTCACTGTGTAGTTTATATCTATATTCTTATGGTTTTTTAGAATGGAATTTACAAGTAAGCAGAATCAAAAGCATCAGCTGTGTCCTTAAGCCACATGACAGAAAAGAAGGATCTCCGCCGAGGAACATGTGAAAGTATGTCCATGCAAACATCAATTTGAATGGAAGTAAAGTTTAGAGATTCACTACAGAAAGAAAGCTACAAATTAAGTTGTTTTCGCTCTTTTTATATAAATTATATCACTCCTTTTTCTTCCTGTCAACACAAATTACCATTTCTCACTTCTGGCTTGAAGTCATAAATCCTCTATTCTCAATGCAAGCAACATGATTAACACAAAGAAGATTATCAGAAAGGCAAGAAAGTGGCAGAAGAAGGCTAACATTGGGAGGAAAATAATTACTGCATCAAGGCTCGGTAACACAATGGCTATTAAGAAACCATCAGGGGTTGATAAAGGCCATTTTGTTATCAACACAACAAATAAGAGGCATTTTGTGATTCCCCTGGAGTATCTCAGCGACAGCATCTTCCTCCAACTCTTGAAGATGTCTGAAGAGGAGTTTGGTCTGTCAAGTGATGGACCTATATTGTTGCCATGTGATTCAATGCTCATGAACCATGTAGTCTTGCTTATCCAACGAGGTTTAGCCAAGGATTTAGAGAAAGCTATGCTCAATTCCCTTAATACCTATCGCTGTTCATCATGTAGTACTACTTTTTTCCATGAAGGACATGCAGATCAACAGTCACTTGTTTGTGGATTCTGAGTAATGTATATAGTCTTGGAATTTTGTAAATGATTGAATGGTTATCAATGATGTTTCAGTCTAAAAATGTAACTATTTATGTTAAGTGTAATATTACTATCACTTTTGATAATTAAAGTTGATGGCTCTCCCTTTGCTATACTGTTTCATGAACTGTGTTACCGAATAATGAAAAATGGAACTAGAAGAATGGCTTTCCTTTTGTATGATCAAATTTTTTGTGGATTCGCAACATAAATTGGTTGCAGTAAAAGTTTGTTTGCTTCTTAACTCAAGCCAAGGGAAGCCTGTTTGGGGTCTATGGGACAGTTTATCTTTGCACCGCTTAATGGATCTGTACTTCCGCTTGCTACTCCCTCCATCCATCAAGAATATGTGAAATGTGATCATTTAATTACATGAAGTGGGACAAAATATGTAACTGACTTGAACAGAAGTGATTCCATCTTCTGTCCCTCAGGATCAAGGCAAAGGTGCTAACTTTTGGGCTCTTTTTACTTTTTTTTTTTTTGGGTAAAGCAACTTCATTTTTCAAGAAGAGGAGAAACCAAAGAGTTCCAACAACCAAATCTTCTTGCTTCATAATCATCACCTTAATTTTACTCAGGGAAATCAAATTAGTAAATTTAGGGCTAAATCTGACTGTTATTTGTAGTACTTGTATTGTATTTCTTTTTTGTTACTCGTGGTTGCTATGGATTAAACTTTGATCACTAGAATTAAAAATCCAGTACTCTACAGACAGATCACAGGATTGATCATTGTATTGTATTTCTTTAGCTAGAGTAGAAAGAAGCAATTGAAAATGCAGTCCTTCTGTTAGGGACTGACTTCACTGACCAGACCAAGGTAGAAGCAGAGAACATTTCAGTGCATTTCCTTTTTCTTATTCTGTTAGTTCCACATGTCCTGTTATTCAGTATCTTCATTCAATTAATAACAAGCTTAAATTGAATATTCCATCACAACAAAGCACATGGTCGTTGACCATGTATAGAATACCTTGTTGCAGTCATCTCCAAGTTTCTTGTTTACTTAGTTTTATCCGCGGGCCTAGGATAAAAAAATACATGATTTTAACAAGCCATGTGATTCCGTTAAATTTGTAGAGGATATGATTCGGTTTTGCTTCTTACTGGTCAATTTACAGCATCGAAATTTCTTTGTCTTCCAAGTTTCACTCTTGGCATTCCCTTGGTCTTAACCAGCTAGCATCGAAAGAATCACATGCAAAGTTGCAAAGAAAGATTCCAATAGAAGTAATTACATGCTTCAGCATTGAAATTCACAAAACATGTAATCAAGGACAGCATAGAAAGGAGTTTTTGTACCTCCTGTATAAATAACAGACTGATTCTAGCAATCACATACCAATCAACCTCCTTGTTTACTAGCTCTAGGATTTCCATCCACAGCGTATAGAGTAAGCAAGCATGATTACTACAAAGAAGCATATTAGGATTGCAAGAAAGTGGCAGAAGATAGCAGCCAGTGGAAGGAAAAGAATTACTTCAGCAAGAACTAATAGAAAGATGGCTGCTGCAAATCATTCTAATAAATCGTCACTGGTTGATAAAGGCTGCTTTGTTATCTACACAACGGATAAGAGACGTTTTGTGATTCCCTTGGCGATTCTCAGCAACAGCATTTTCCGAGAACTCTTCAAGATGTCTGAAGAGGAGTTTGGACTGCCAACTGATGGACCTATAACATTGCCATGTGATTCAGTTGTCATGAATTACATTGTCTCCCTTGTGAAAAGAGGATTAGCTGAGAATTTGGAGAGAAAAGTTCCCACTTCCACTACTGGCTATCGCTGCTCATCAGATATTATTTTAATGAACAACATGCGGATCAACAGTCACTTATTTGTGGATTCTGAGTGAATTGGCTTTGATTCTTGTAAACAATTCTGGTATACGAAAAGATAATAGAGAAAAAAAAAAAAAAACATGTTTCTAGGTGTAAATTATTCAAAGTATCATAGTGTATTACCAAAAGATGTTTCATTGTAAACTCCAAGTAACTTTGTAACATGCAATAGACATCCTTGAGAATTAAAATCATGCGCGTCTCCTTGATAAACATGCAGCTATTAAAACATGTGAGGAAATCAAGTACCTATGATTTTAACAATGGTTGTATGCATAATAAGGTGAGATTATTTTTAATTTTGGAAGAGTCAGAGAAGAAAAAAGATGTCCATGTTAAATTTGTAAGATGGACATTCACTTAAAATAATCAACAAAGAGATCTTTTATTTTATATTTGAGTTAATTATGCTTTTAATATTTAAAAACTTTAGAAAAACATACAAACTGGTATTTAAAAGATAAAATATACAATTTGCATAATGAACTTTCAAATAATATATCGTTTTAATCTAAATTGTAATATTATTAATTTAACTCATCTTTATGGTATCTACCAAGTATAATTTTGTTATTTGCATGTTATTTGTTGAATAAAATTATTAAATATTTTATAAAAACCTTTATGTGAATATCACACGACGAAAAGATGATTAATTGATCCTACACATTTTTTACGATTAAAGTTAATTAAAAAAATATTTTTAATTTATATTGAGAAATTATTGATAGTATGTGTGATGAGCACATAATTTGATAATATTTATCTAATATCGCATATGTAAGCTTATATGATTAGAATGATTAAAGATTAAGTTACTGTGGTACATAATTTGAAAGTTCAAGATATAAATTATACAATTTACTTTTTTATGTATCAATTGATCAGATAAAATAACCTCAAATAATATTCAAACCAAATATATTAGATAGCAAAAAAATTAAATTATACATCTTTTGCGAATCTAGGAATCAAACAAATAGAGCTAATAAATAAATCTTCAAACCACTAGTATAAGAATACAAGCAATTTATGTGAAAAACTTTCCCAAAATAAAGAGCAAAAATTATGAGTAACAACAAATAATTTTTACTATCAAAATAATGAGAATATAAAGTTTTTTTCTAACAAAAATTAAAGGTATGTAACCATAATATCTTAAAATTAAACAATCTTGATAAAAAAATCTTGCAAGAAAAAATTGAAGAAATCTCGCTAAATTTAGGGATTTTATTAAATTTAAAAATTAACAAACACTTACAAAATCATAAGGTAAAAAACTTGAAATTCGATTTTCACTGTTCAAACTGAAGAATAATTAACCATGAATATACTGATAAAATTTCAGTTCAATTAAATCATAAATTGACATTGATCAAATCACTTGATCGAATTTGCACAAAATCTTTTTTTTTTCTTTATTGCCACCACACCTCTTTTGTTTTTTTCTGAGCCATGTAATATTACTATATATAAGGTTTTAAAATTCTATAATTCAACATGAAAAGCTTAAAAAGTTTTTGGTGAATGGACTTTACTTTTAAGTCAGCTTCACATGAAGTAAACTAAGCCCAACATCAATTTGTATTTTTTTTTCAAAATTTAAGTATTAAAAGTTTAATTAATTCTTTTTATTAAACATCAAGATATATCATATTTAATTGACATGAGATTTATATTTACAATTTAATCTTAAATTATAACTTTTGAGATTATGTTCCAATATTAATCCTTAACTTTGCTTCCACACCACTCAATTGTATAGCCAATTGTAAAAACAGTAAAAGCTTTGTGCATCAATGTCAAAAGTCTTAATTGATCATTCTCTGCTTTTGAGATATGAATTAATTACCAAATTCTCATTTTGTGAAGACTACAAAAGGCAACCCCAAAGTATTAATTTAAGGTGGAATTAATTCGGCCTTTGGTAAAAGCAGAATCCATGGAAAATGCAATGGTTGGGTGGCCTTTTTCTTTTTCTTTTCTTGAGAGTAATGAAATTTCTGTCTCACTTAAAGTTTTAATTCTTTACTTTCATTGTCTGTAACTTGAAAGATTCAGGCGAGTTAACAATTGAAACCTGTTTTATTGGTTTAGAACTACAAATAGTTCTTCCTTTAGAGACCAATCATACATTATTTCTCCCAGAAATTGCTCTTATCTGTTTATTGCTTAATTATTATTCTTCTTTTTTTTCTCTTTTTACAAAAGAAACCCTAATTTAGATTGCACGTACGGCGGGTATTTGAATCCCAATTTTATAAAACATCAATTGTTAAAGATAGCTGAATAAATTAACTAATATAAAATTGGGATTCATTATTATTCTTCTATTTAATCAGCTATACAAGTCTATTAATTCTGAAGTAATAAAAAAAAATTGAAACGCTTTTCACCCAATTGCATTAACCAGGTTACAATTCTTGCAGGCGCTCGATGTGCTTTTGAGCTATAAGCAATATCGGATAAGAGCTTGGAAGCATTTAGTGGCAAAGTTAGCAGTAGTGATGCTTCTTACAAGTAAGTGCAATATTATAAAACATATTGACGTAAATTTCTGATTATGATCAAGAACATTGATGATTAATTACATAAAACTTTTTTGAAATTTCAGTTGCTTTGTCTCTCATCTACGTAGAGCTCAAGAATTCGGTCTTGAAGAAAATATTTAGAGAAATTACAACAAAGTTTTGGGCTGAATGGGAGCTTCGCTTGATGGTTATTATCAGCCTTATTCTTCTGCTTCTTCTCCGCTTATCTGGGAATTTTCGACGAGTATACATTAGGAAAAAACTGCCTTATGTTGCAATAACTGTATAGTTAGTGTATTTGTCAGCAGATTGGGTAGCAACTCTTGTGCTGAGTACCCTTCTTAGGAGCGATGTTAATCTGAAAAATGGCCTTATTGTATTTTGGACGCCCTTCCTTTTGTGGCATCCTGGCAGCCCTCACAACATTACAGCTTATTCCTTGGAGAGCTGTGGTTAAGACACTTCCTAGGCATGGTGTTCCAAGTTGTAGAGGCAATTTACATCTACGTAAGGTTTCGATAAGACACGGACCTCAATTTCATGGCTGCTCCGATATTCATTGCTGGAGTTTTCAAGTATGGAGAAAGGATATGGGCTCTCAGCAGCTCATAAATTCCTTGTACCCTTCTAAAAGAAAAGCTATCAGACAGAGAAAAATGGATCAGAATAGGGCCGTCGGAATCCACAATAAACCGTTGTTTTGAAGGCCAAGCCAATGTTTCTGAGCTCAACTTGCTCCGTGAAGCTTATTCATCCTTCATTATTTTCAAGCCTCTCTTTCTTGGCCTCCCATTTGAGCTTTCCGCAAAATTTTACGATGACATGGTTTACATCAAGTCTAAATCTGCGGAACAAGCCTTCAAATTGGTAGGGACTGAACTGAGATACCTTTACGATTTGCTCTACACCAAGAGGCCCATACGAAACAATCAGCCAAAATTCAGTTTTTGTCTTCGTTCCTTCTGCTTTCTGTCTGCTGTGTCTTCACTGATTGCTTTCTCAGCAATCGTGGAAAAGAGTGTGCATGCAAAAATCGACATTGTCGTTACGTATTTGCTGCTGCTGGGGGCTATTTGTCTCGACATATATTCATTCATAATGCATCCTTTCTCTACTTGGGCAATGGTCCGTTTGCCCATTCCTGAAAACAAGGTACGTAAGTTGTACTCCAAGGTTGTTGGTTGGAAGTTGCATTTATCCGTTGAACCCAGGATGGCAATCAAATCAATGGCGCAACACAATCTAATAAATTATTACGTCGAGGCCAAGACAAATAAGTTCAAGGATGCAGTTAGGATTCTTGACACAGGTAATCTTCTGCAGAAGTATGGGCATACCAATTGGAAGATTGTTGATTGTAAATTGAAGCAATTCATCTATTCTCATCTGGAAGAGAGACGTAGGAAGTGGGCCGAGAAGGGTTTCAGACGTGAAGATCTCGAGAAGTTGTTAAATGGTAAAGGTGAAAATATGTTAGATGAACTAGCTATTGATCGTGAGAACTTGAAACTGGACATAAAAGATTTTACTCAACGCATTTTTATTTGGCATTTTGCTACAGACCTTGTTTTCTACGATGATGTTGACAGATTTCGAAGAGGTACGCTGGGTTCATTTTGCCAAATTGCCAAGTCCTTGTCTTATTACATGATGTACCTCGTCCTCGTCCGTCCATTGATGCTACCTAAAGGGTTCAGCGAAGTGATAAACGAAGAAAACTACACCCAAGCCAACAAATTTTTCCCAGGAAAGGACATCACCAAAAAAATGAGAAAAATAGACTATGTCAGGAAGGCATTTACTTCGGCGGTGCTTGAGCGTGATGATTTTCTGGAGGAAATTTATAGAATCAAAGTGATAAGTGGTGGGAAAAAGTTTACCCAGGCATTGCAAAGTTTTGTCACTGAGCATCGGTGGGATCACGAAGAGAAATGGGAAATGATTAGTAAGCTGTGGATGGAGATGATGATTCATGCTGCTAGTCATTGTTCTTGGGAAGAAAATGCTCAACAATTGAGGCATGGCGGAGAGCTGCTTACTCATGTTGCCCTTCTTATGGCACATCTTGGTTTAAGCACTCAGATCCGCAAATATGATGTACCAGATGAGGATGAGCTCAACATGCCTCCCCACTTTAAACACAAAAAGTCAGTGAGCCTTTTTTTTTTAATTTATTATTATAATGTTATTATTTAGGTCCAGTAGATGCAAGATTTCCTGTATGATCTTTTGATTGAATTTCCAATAAAGATTTTACCAAATGCTGGTATGAAAGCAAGAACTTGGGCCTATCTAGATCGAATACCATATCAGTTCCTCTTCCACCTGTAAGTTGCTCGGCCTATCTTACTTATTCTTATGGTGGTTGTAACAAAACCATCAGACAAGGAAACCTTTAAAAATATCATAATCTGATTAAATGTTTAAATCAGGCTTACTTTTGTATTCTACTTCGACAAGCCCATCTCTCAGCAATTAAACGGGCTGACCAAGGCCCAACTGAGGGTTCTGACTGAAACAACCCCAAGACGGAATAAAAATAAAGCATCAAAGTAACTTGGTTTCAGCTAGCATTTTTGGAAAAAACAAAGAAGGAAAGTTACCTGTATTGTATTTCTTTTTAGGTACTTGCGGTTGATATGGATTGAACTCTAGTCATTAGAATTAAAATTTCAATACTCTACAAACAGACCACACGGTTGATCATTATATTGTATTTCTTTAGCTAGTAGCAGAAAGAAGCAATTGAAAATGCAGTGTACCATCAAAAGAAGGGAAATTGTGATTTGTGAAGACCATCTAACATATTGCAGTCTATTAACCATGCTCGGTAAGTAAAGTATATCTGCAAAGTAACCAACTCTGATAGGGACTGACTTCACTTACCAAACCAAGGTAGTAGCAGAGAACCTTTCAGTGCATTTCTTTTTTCTTGTTCTGTTGGTCCACATGTCCTTCTGTTTTTCAGTTTCTTCATCCAACTAATTACAATCTTACATTAAATATTCCACCACAACAAAGCACATGGTCGTTGACCTTGTATATAATCTGTCAATTAGTGATGGTGTTCCTAATTTCTTCAAGGATGTCATCTAGGTAAAGCTCCAAATCCAGGACACTTTTTTGCAGTCATCTCCAAGTTTATTGTTTACTTAGTTTTAACCGCAGGCCTTGAATCAAAAAAATACATGATTTTAACAAACCATGTTATTTCGTTAAATTTATAAAAGATATGATTCGGTTTTGCTTCTTACTGGTCAACTTAACCAGCATCGAAAGAATCACATGCAAAGTTGCAAACATAGATTCCAATAGAAATAATTACATGCCTCAGCATTGAAATTCTCAAAACATGTAATCAAGGCCAGCATAGAAAGGAGTTTTTTTTCCTCCTGTATAAATGGCGGACTGATTCTAGCAATCGCATACCAATCAACCTCCTTCTTTACTTACTCGAAGATTTCCATCCAGAAAATATAGAGTAAGCGAGCATGATTACCACAAAGAAGCCTATCAGGATGCCAAGAAAGTGGCAGAAGATAGCAGGCATTGGAAGGAAAAGAATTACTTTAGCAAGGACTAATAGAAAGATGGCTGCTACAAATCATTCTAATAAATCATCACTGGTTGATAAAGGCTGCTTTGTTATCTACACAATGGATAAGAGACGTTTTGTGATTCCCCTGGCGTTTCTCAGCAACAGCTTTTTCGACAACTCTTCAAGATGTCTGAAGAGGAGTTTGGACTGCCAACCAATGGACCTATAATATTACCATGTGATTCAGTTGTCATGAATTACATTCTCTCCCTTTCGAAAAGAGGATTAACTGAGAATTTGGAGAGAGCAGTGCTCCCTTCCATTACTAGCTATCGATGCTCAGGGGATAATTATTTCAATGAACGACATGCAGATCTACAGTCACTTGTTTGTGGATTCTGAGTGAATTGGCTTTGATTCTTGTAACAATACCGGTTACGAAAGATAATAGAGAAAAAAAAAAACTTGTCTTAGGTGCAAATTATTCAAAGTATCATAGTTTATTACCAAAAGATGTTTCACTGTAAACTCATAGCAACTTTGTAAAATGCAATAGACATCCTTGATAACTAATATCAGTTATTGCCTGTCTCCTTGATAAACATGCAGCTCTTAAAACATGTGAGGAAATTAACTTCCTTTGCTTTATGTTGCACTGAAAACAGCAAGTTTTATTCTAAAACGATATCCACAGATCCAGCATCCTTACATGATATTTTTCTAGCATCAGTGACAATAATCTTTAGAAGTTATTATGATCTAATCACAGCTAATGATTGTGCACTTGGATAGCCAAATGGAGCTAGATAGCAGAGTTCATGACTGAGCAGGTATTATGGGTCAATTTCTATTAATTTGAGACAGTTTAATAATTTTGACCACCAATAACACTCTGAAGGTGAACTTATACTCTAATTAGAAGTATAAGGCCTACCAAAGACTGGCTGTTATGACATAAAGAGGGTAGCCAAGTTGCTAGACAGAAAATATATTCAACTGATTTGCACCATCAAACAATCAGATTACATGATTTTAATATTTGGCCCAGTAAAGTGGTAGAAGATCTGTAACCAACACAAATAAAATGCTCCACTCTATTTACGTCAAGAAGCAGAATTCCAAATAATTTGATTCTATTTTAAGCTAGTTCAGTTTGTTCTTGTGATTACATTTAATGGCAAGTGAGATGCAGGGGAACCGGCCATTCTTTTAAGGAACAGAATTTCCATCATATGATAATATCCTCGACAAAGTGATATGGACAGAGCAAATGAAGGTACAAAGAAGAGAACTTTTCAAAGAATTTTTTCTTGTTTGAAATCTCCTTGGTTCCTCTTTTACCTCAGTATTTGAGCATTCATACGAAGATAAAATTAATTTCAACATCACTAGTTAACGGCTTGCATCGATTATCACTTCACATATATGTCAATATACCCTATAAGCAGAACATGCTAAAGCATGAGGCGGCCACAAGCAAAATGGAATCATTTTTTTTCCGATTGAACGACCAACAGTAACAGTACATAGGTTTTAACCAACATGTGGGAACAAATTTTAGTTATCGCTTTGAAGGTAGATCCAATCATTCAAACTTTCCTGTGAATCTTTAGCTTATATCAATGCAATGCATGATGTCGACTCCGAAAAACAGTAACTATACTTTTGCATTGGAATTCTTGACGGTAGGAAAATCAAGTTAAGGAACATTTTTGTTCCTCATTCCTGGATGTATATACATAGGTGAAGTAACAAATTGATTGCTTCAATCTATCAAATAGAAATTAGAATACCAGTTTCATGGTTCTTTGGCAAGACATACATACATACGTTTATAAGAGAGAGAGTACAGCCAGAATGATCAGAAACAAGAAACTTGACAGAATGGCAAAGAAGTGGCAAAAAATTACTATCATGAGGAAGGAAAGAATTTCTTTACCAGGGACATCTAATGCAAAAGCTATTGCAGGCAGCGTTGATGAATCATCGGTGGCTGAAAAAGGTCATTTTGTTATCTACACCACAGATCAGATGCGCCATGTTGTGTCCTTATATCTCAGCAATAACATATTTGTTGAACTCTTAAAGCTGTCTGAGGAGGAATTTGGTCTATCAAGTCATGATCCTATAAAGTTGCCTTGCGATTCAGCCTTGCTGGAATACATAGTCTTCATTGTCCAACAAGGCTTGGATAAACACTTGGAGAAAGCTCTGCTTAGTTCCATTTCTCCTGGTCGCTACTCCCTTTGCGCTTCTTTCCATCAAGGACAGACGGGCCAACATTCATTTGTTTGTGGATACTGAACAGATCACAGTTGAATCATGTAATGATTGAAACTACCATAGTGTAATATAGAAGTTGTACTCTAAAATACTTAAATTACAATGGAATGCAACAGCAATATTATTCTACATGGTATATAGTTTTTCTTCGGCAAAAAATGTTTTGTACTGAAAGCACAAATTCATTCTACAGGAATAACTTTCCTAGTTAACATGAGCATATGTGTCTTATTGCAACTGTCTCAAAAATATCAGTGTAAAGTGCAAACACAAAGAGGTTAAGCTTTTATATTCCTCCTAAAACTATTTTATGCAGTATGCACCTCATCTGGCTGCTTCTACAAGCTCCCAACAGACTTGTAACAATTTTGAATGAGTTGCTTGTCATCATGACATGTTTGCCAGGATAAAATGATTCAGTTGGAACTTGAAGCCACCAGAATTTATTAACTACTAGGATGCTCAATGAGACAAATTATTTACATTCTAGGGTCAAGGTGATATCATTTAGAAAGCAATAATAAATGGTGTTTCAATGGAAATAAACAAAATGCATAACAAACAAGTTACAATGACCTACCATTTAAGTTTTTGTTGCTTCATGTTTGTAGATAACAAACACACATGCAAGTATAACCACCTCTTTTCTTCAATATTCACATGGCTTTACATCCTACCAGCTTCACAACTACATGGAAGAGATTATCCCATGGATAAGTAACAGGAAGGTCATGAAACCGATTGGATTTGAGAGAGACAAGAAACAGGTGGCAATTTGCTTGAGAGAAGGTTTCTTATTGCTGTTTCGATTAATGAATCTCATCCAAACAGGATCCTAAAGGTATGTTGGAATCTTGATCAACTGATCATCAGTCAACATAATTGCAGTACTGGACCATAATGTTGTTAAACCACTTGGCAGATAGATAACGATATGTCTGCATGTACTTCTATGGTCCACCTTGTTGGGCTCATCATCCAAGAAAAGCAAACATGCCCACCTTGCAGGTTACACCTCATATCTGCACATCACATGGCTTTGTTTCCCAGGAATACCAGCATTCTACTAATTCATTAAAGGGACAGTCTCTGGCCTTGTGATTATATATTATCCCATTTCCATTGCCTCATATCCAACACAACAACTGCATTCAGAAATCAGAGTTCTAAGACCTAAAACTTCCCTCTATTTTCTTTCATCTTAGACTCTTTCCTACAAAACTTAAAGTAAAGCAAGATGATCAGCGGTAAGAAGCTTATCAAGTTAGCAAGAAAATGGCAAAAAAGGGCTGCAATTAGGAGAAAAAGAGTCACATTACCAAGAACCACTGGGCATGCTGACAAAAACAGTTGCAGCACATCATCAGTGGTGGAGAAGGGTCACTTTGTTGTATACAGTGTGGATCAGAAGCGCTTTGTGCTTCCTATGGAATATCTCAAGAACAAAATCGTCATGGAGCTATTCAACTTGGCAGAAGAAGAGTTTGGACTACCAGGCTGTGGGCTTCTCGTCTTGCCTTGTGATGCAACCTTTATGGAATATGTAATTGCTTTGATCAAAAGGAAACCAAGTAAAGACATGGAGAAAGCATTGATCCTGTCTGTAGCCAGCGGTCGTTGCTCATCATCATATCTTTATCAGCAAGAAACGAGCCAACAGATGCCGATATGGAACTTCTAAAGCAAAAGTTTTTTATTTTCTCATCTTGTAATTGATCCAAACCTTTGTAGATTAGAGTATACAACGCAAAAAGTCAGAATTTTTGTTTCTCATGTTCAGTTTCTTGGATCTTGACAAGGCAATTACTTCTTATCTACAATAGTAATCAACAATTTCATACCAAATAATATAGAGGAATTGAACACAAAAATATATGTCATGTTTAACATATTTTGTTCTCAATAGGAAATAATCAAACTACAGTTGTACTCCCCACCGACGCTGCATTCTGAAACTTCCTTACCCATTTTGACGAGCTTAGAAGCCAAAAAGTTAAAAGGCAAGGAAACAAATTTTGATTTGTACTTTGTTTATGACTCAACTTGTCCAAGCAGGGATGAAAATAAGAGATGGGTAAAAGCTTAGTTGCATGAAGATATCTCAGTCAAAAAGTAGTTACTTTTTTTATGTATAACCAATTATAAAATTTATCAAGTAAAAGCAGCTGAATTATATAGGGAGGACTAATTTATAAAGTTATACAAATTAAGCAGGATGTACCGCACACATAAGCTTTCGAGCCTAGTATCTGGGCATTGAATTGAAGTAAAACGCAACCATATCCGACCCCACAATTCAAAACCTTCAGTACGGAAAGTATGATCATCAAAACCTCTGCTGTTTGCAATCTCTTGGAGCCATTAACAGACGATCAATGTGAAGCAGATTACATTTTGAGATATCTAAAAGCATAACAGCCCGGAGATAAAGACGTTTCACTCTTTTGGGCAAATCCTGTTTCAGAAACTATAAATCCGATCAATCCAGATTTCAATAAACTAGAACCACAACTTTTTCTTGTTGTGTAACATATTCAGAACATGTGGGTTGAATACGATGCGTGGTCTTGCACATGGCCTGTTCTGCCAAACCCAAATAAATTTGATGTTGAAAAAAATATTGGACCACTTCCATTAACTTCCAGACATGCCCAGCTGGCGACGTTCCAAATGATCGCTCTCATTTTCGAACCACATGGTTTTGCTTCCCTTTAGCCCCGACATTGAGTTGCTTCATTCAAAGGACTGTTTTTGGGACGTTTGTGTATATATATTCACCCAATTTCTGTTTTTCATCAGTGCAGCACAACAAAACTTTTTAATTTCCTAAGATCTTTACATTCTCTTCATTTTCTTGTCCTAAAACATTCTCCCTTGTTTTACAAAAGCAACAAGATGATCAGTGCTAAGAGGCTTATCAAGTTAGCAAAAAATTGGCAAAAAATGGCTGCAATTAGGAGAAAAAGAATCACATTACCAAGAAGCACTGAGGATGCTGACATAAAAAGTTGCAGCTCATCATCAGTGGTGGAGAAGGGTCACTTTGTTGTATACAGTGTGGATCAGAAGCGCTTTGTGCTTCCTTTGGAATATCTCAAGAACGAAATCGTCATGGAGCTATTCAACCTGGCAGAAGAAGAGTTTGGACTACCAGGCAATGGGCTTCTCATCTTGCCTTGTGATGCAACCTTTATGGAATGTGTAATTGCTTTGATCAAAAGGAAACCAAGTAAAGACATGGAGAAAGCATTGCCCCTGTCTGTAGCCAGAGGTCGTAGCTCATCATCATATCTTTATCAGCAAGAAACGAGCCAACAGATGCCAATATGGAGCTTCTGAAGCAAAATTTTTGTCTTTTCTCTTGTAATTGATCCACACCATTGTCGATTAAAGCATATAATTCTAAAAGTCAGAATTTTTGTTTCCCATGTTCAGTTTCTTGGATCTTGACAGGGCAATTACTTCTTATCTACAATATTAGTCAACAATTTCATACCAAATAATATACAGGAATTGAACAAAAAAACATATCTGCCATGTTTAACATATTTTTTTCTCAAGGAGATAATCAAGCTCTAGTTTTTACTCCCCAAAGAAGCTGCATTCTGAAACTTCCTTACACATTTTGATGAGCTTAGAAGGCAAAAAATTAAAAGGCAAGGAAACAAATTTTAATTTGTTACTTTGTTTATGACTCAACTTGTCCAAGCAGGGGTGAAAAATAAGAGATGGATAAAAGCTTAGTTGCATGAAGATATCTCAGTCAGAAAGCAGATAACTTTTTTATGTATAACCAATTATTGAACCTATCAAGCAAAAAGCAGCTGAACTTCTACAGGGAGGACTAATTTATAAAGTTACACAAATTAAGCGGCACGTACCGTACACATAAGCTTTCAAGCCTATTATCTGGGCATTGGATTGAAGTAAAATGCAACCATATCCAACCCTACAATTCAAAGCCTTCAGTACAGAAAGTATGACCACCAGGACCTCTGCTGTTAGCAATCTCTTGAAGCCATTAACAGACAGATCAATGTGAAGCAGATTACAATTTGAGATATCTAAAAGCATAACAGCCTGGAGATAAAGACGTTTCACTCTTTTGGGGCAAATCCTGTTTCGGAAACTATAAAATCCCATCAATCCAGAGTTCAGTAAACTAGAACCACAACTTTTTCTTGTTGTGTAATATATCCAGAACATGTGGATTGTACTACGATGCCTGGTCTTGCACATGGCCTGTTGTGCCAAAACCAAATAAATTTGATGTCGAAAAAAAGATTGGACCACTTACCATTACCTTCCATACATGCCCAACAGGTGACGTCCCAAATGATCGCTCAAATTTTCGAACCACACGGTTTTGCTTCCCTGTAGTCCCGACACTGAGTTGCTTCATTCAAAGGACTGCTCTTGGGACCTTTGTGTTTATATATTCACCCAATTTATGTTTTTTCATCAGTGCAGCACAACAAAAGCTTTTCAGTTTCCTAAGGTTTTTACATTCTCTTTCTTCTCTTGTCCTAAAATATTCTCCCTTGTTTTACAAAGGCAACAAGATGATCAGTGCTAAGAAGCTTATTAAATTGGCAAGAAATGGCAAAAATTGGCTGCAGTTAAGAGAAAAAGAATCACATTCTCGAGAACCACTGGGTATGTTGACACAAACAGATGCAACATATCATCAATTGTCGAGAAAGGTCACTTTGTGGTGTATATGTAATACCCAAAAAAAAAAAAAAAAGATTATTCTAAGTATTTTTATAAGTGGGAGACTCTTTAATAAAGAATGAGAAGTGCAGAAGACTTATTGATAAATAATTCAAATTCTTTATTAATAGAGTTAACTTTTTAGTTTTCAGTCGACGATTAATCGTAATAAAAACAAAAATTTATTTCTCATATGTTTCTTATAAAAAATAGATCAATTGAAGGATTCCAAGTGAAGGAAAGAACAAATCTACAAGGAGAAATTATCTGATAGAGGTGAGTAAATAATCTTTTTTAATTTTTGGAGTATTGATGGTTAAGTCTTAAAGTGTAAATTATAATCGAGAAACCCTAAAATTTTAGGGTTTCTATTATCCTTCTTTGGGCAGATGATTTAGACTTTAATTAGAGTCAAGTTAAGTGTTGAGAAAGTTGGTAATGTGAATTTATTGTTGAAACAGAAATTTGATAGGAATAGAAAGGAAAATCTTTGTTTCGTATAAATTCTTATATAAATCATGTGTTTGTAGTGATGAATTAAGATTATATTCTGTATTAAAGGGTTAAATACTACTATGATTACTATATATGGTTGGAAAGCATGTTGAATCTACTTTCTAATGAAATAAACGGGAGTCGAATTCGAGTTCCCTATGAAGAGTTATCTAATTTTTACCTAAGGAGGTGCAGGCTGCCTAGTAGCAGCAGTAAGGGGGAATTACGAAATTTCCCTAAATTTTTATACAAGGATTTACAGTTTAAGCCATATATGTTTGGAAAGCTTATCGAGTCTACTTTCCAATGAAATAAGCGAAATTGAATTTGGAGTTACTTATGAATAAATACGTAATTTTTATAAAAAGGTATACAGGCTGTCTGGCAACAGCATATGATGTGGATTTCAAAAATTGTTATAATTAATCCACAAAGAATCATGAGATGAGCCATATATGTTTAGAAAGCTTGTCAAGTCTAGTTTCTAACGCATTAATAAGATTTTAATTCCAAATTGGATATCTTGAGTTATGATCGTTTTAGTAAAAGTAGCGTAGACTGCCAAAATTAATTACTCGAGTTATTACTTGTTTAACTTAATTGTTTTGGTATAAGTGACCTCAAATGGGTTGATTAATTATTGTTACGTTGGAATTATCTTGAATAGGCCACTAAATTTTGAGGGAGAAAAATTAGGTGGTGGAATCAGAAGAAGGTAAGTAGAATCTCACACACTTTGCTTGTTTTTTTAATCTATGTATATATATATGTTTCTAAATGAAAGAATGTTTTATTTCATTATTTTCAGTGTATGAAAATAGGATCAAGCATATGATTATTTTGTGTTTCTCTATATAAATGATGGATCATGCTAATGAATGAAATGAGAAAATGATTTTATGTTTAAAGAATGATTTTATGATAGCTACGTTTTTATATCCCTGAGAAGTGGGATCATCGACATCAGAACTTAGTTCTACGACCCTGGCTAATGGGTAATAGTAGTTAGCAAAAACATGATCATACGACCCTGGCTAACGGGTAATAGTAGTTAGCGTAAGCCCTGACTAACGGGTTATAATAGTTAGCAATGATCATGAGAATGAAATTGTCGATACGGCCAATGTCACGGGTTATAGCAGTGACTGTAGCTAACAATTTGAATGATAACGATTTGATTGATAATGATGATTTACAATGATTTTTAATGATTGATCCATGATTTGGTTTGATTACGATATTTGAATGATAACATATTTTACAATGATTTATAAATTTATAAAATGTTTGACAGAACGATGATATTGAGATGTTTTAACATTTTGATTTGACTAATGTTTTGAATGATCTATATGACATGTATGAAACGATGTTTGATCCGGTAAGGTGTGTGAGCCTTTACTTACTGAGCTGTGGTTTGCTCATTCCCTATTTTCTTTTCTTTTACAAATGTTATGAATGATAAGTATGTTTAGCTTGAGAAAAGCTAGAAAATCGAGCATTGGAGAACTACTTAGAAATATAAGATTTTATGAAATATTGTTTATTTTAGTTGTAATACTCGACTTTAAACTTTTGGAGACTTGTTATCTAACTATGTACTTAATGAGAACATTTTATATTTGAGAGTTGATCAATGGTTGTGAATTAGGCTTCGTATTGCTTTGGAATTTTACTTTAAGATAATATGACCGTGTTATACCTCGATTCGGGGCATGACAGTATAGCGCTGATGAGATGCGTTTTGTGCTTCCTTTGGAATATCTGAAGACCGAAATGGTCATGGAGTTGGTCAAATTGGCAGAAGAGGAGTTTGGACTTCCAAGCAATGGACATCTCACGATGCCCTGTGATGCAGCCTATATGGAATATGCAATTGGGTTGATTAAAGGGAAAGCAAGTAAAGAAATGGAGACAGCGTTACTCATGTCTGTAGTTAGTGGCCGTTGTTCATCGTCATCGTATATCTATCCGCAAGAAACAAACAGACAGTTACCTATGCGGGGTTTCTAAAGCAAAACATGTTTTCAATTTTGTAGACGATCACACCATTGTACATTTATGAAATCTAATGAGAAAGCTCCTGATTTTGTTTCATATTTAGTTGTCTGCCATGGCAATTGTCCTTTTTTATCTTCACTGCAACATCTCCAACATGATCCTACATATTCACTAGGGGAAAAAACCAAGAAGAAAAACAAAGCCTAATCCTCTCCTGTCAAAATATGCTATACACGAATTGATTTGAACACGACTGCACAAGTCCATGGTTGGGCCTTTTTTGAGAAAACTGAAGACCCAAATCCACTTGGGGATTGTGGATGCAGCAGCTGATCGATTTCTTAAAACGGGGTCTGCAATTGGATAAGGGCATGGGATTCATCTAGATTCTAGGCCATGAATGCAAAACCATATTTTACTTGCTCCACAATGTATCGTATTAGAATTAAACCCCGTCTCGTTTCCCATGTGTGGGATTTTCCGATTAGCCAAATGGGTCAAATTAAGAAGATAGAAATTATTTTTGTTAGACTTTTTAAATGCCCAAGCATGAAAAATGAAATACTAATGTTAATATTATGAAACCATACCACTACACACGGCAAATCCTATTGACCTTTGTTCTCAACCAGAAGTTGAGTCAAAGTTTTATCCTTTTGGTTGAAAGCTTGTGCTTCTCTTTATTTTAAAATATTTTGGGTGGCTGCCTGAAAATCCTTTGTTCCAAAACTTTAATCTGTCCTGATTTAGGGATTATTGTCTGTTTAGCCATTGATGATTGTTCTAAAAAGTATCATACACCAATACCAATTTCTGTTACAACATGGCCTTTTTTTGAAACTACATATTTCTTTCCCAGGGCAGGTGCATTTATAGGCGAATTCCTTGCCGAATTTATACTTCGCAAATAATATCAGACTAACAAAATTGAAGCCATCAAATTTGACCCACAATTTTGATCCTGGAATGACTAACGGGACCTTAACTTGAAGCCTGCTGTACACGTTCAGAGACAGGAGGAAGGTGAAATAGGTTATAATCCAAAAACATGGAAAGCCTGGAGCGAGTCTTTTGGGGAATCATGTTTCAAAAGTTAGGCTTTTGCATCCCCTTCCGGCTTTTGTTGACTAATAGATTATAACCATTCAGATGTCAACTCATTGAATCATCACATGATTGTGTCCAGGTGAACCCAACACAGGGCAACCCACTTGTAAGAAATGTAAGCGTCCCAAGAGGTGTTGTTAACATGGAAATAAACCAATTCCATAGCATTCCAGCTCCAGGCATGCCCATCGCCCAATCGACTACAAACATTTTGTCACATGATTTTGCTTCCCATCTAACCCAGCAAATGTGGCCTGGTCAGCCGGACTGTCTTTGGCTTTGGAATTTTGTATTCATCCAACTCTCATTGCCAACTACACAACACAACAACATCACAGCATTCAGTTTTCTAAGATCTAAAGGTCTCTTCTCTTGTGTCTCATAATCTTCTCACCATTTTTATCAGCAACAACAAGATGATCAGTGCTAAGAAGCTCATCAAATTGGCAAAGAAATGGCAGAAACTGGCTGCTATTGGGCGAAAAAGTATCACATCATCCGAGATGACGTCCATTGGAGATGTTGGCACAAAGTTGCAACACATCATCAACAGTTGAGAAAGGTCATTTTGTTGTGTATAGTGCGGATTAGAGACGCTTTGTTCTTCCTTTGGAATATCTCAAGAATGAAATTATCGGAGAGCTATTCGCTCTGGCTGAAGAAGAATTTGGACTACCAAGCAATGGGTTTCTCATGTTACCTTGTGATGCAGCCTTTATGGAATATATTATTTCTCTGATCAAACGACAACCAAAGATAAAGCATTGCTCACATCCATTGCCAATGGTCGCTGCTCATCATCTTCATATCTTCATCAACAACCAACGAGTCAACAATTACAAATCAGCAGCTTCTAAAGCATAATATGTTCAGTTTTGTAACTAAATGATACTTCTGTACATCTAAGAAGTTTAACTTTAGACTAATGAAAAATGGTTTATTTTTTATTTGATTTTCTTGGAATTACAATTGGGATTATCTTAAACAAGACAAGCCAAATTATTGCAAATATAAAGATGGAACTGTTTTGTAGGAATTTTCTGTACATTATCTCATTAAACATTTTTCTTAACAATTTTGTGAAGACTTGCATATGACATAACTAGTGAAGTTAATATGACTATGGCAAAGCCTCATTTGATCATGAACTAAAATGGATGCCGAAACTGCCCAATTGCCAAGGCAGATCAGAGAGGAAATAGAATTGCTAACACTATAGAGTAAAGTGGCAGTACCTCTAGTGAAATTGGGTTGTGATTGCAATTATATCCAGTCAAAAAATTAGCAGATCAGTTTCAATTTTCAAATCTAATTCACCAGGCAGTTCAATTATCCCTCATTAGACTAATCTTGCCAATCATCCCTTTTAAGTTGCTGTTGTTGGGAATTCTTGACTTCCCAGGTTCCTAATGAAATTCTGTATATGGCACTACTAAAGTAATATTTTTTTTTGTCTAACTAGTAGAAAAGAAATTGATGTCTTGATCTTAAGAGGAAGCGTTTTAAGTAAAAGTAAACATGTTTGGCTTTGAAAACCAGCAAATCAAATGAATTCTGTTCCATTCTTCCCCATTTATCACTAAGTTTTGACTATATTGCAGCATAAACTGCTCAAAATAACAAGATATATATTAAAGATGTTTTCTGATATCCAACCAATCACCTTTTGTTGAACAAATGGTGCTGATGTAGGTTATTAAAATTCATAACCTGCATTGTAGATGGTATGTTTATCATTGCTTTGGAAATTGACAGCTTCTGCTGTGCAGCTAGACCTCCTTGGTCTGCATCTTGGGGCCTTTTGGTCAGAGCATTCAAATTGGTAAGAATGACAGGAATCAGGTTTACGTAATAGCAAGAAACTGTTAGCAGAGACATTGAATCCAACCTCTTTTTCAGTTTTTCAAAAATTATAAACTGGATTTAATTGATCCACATATTTTTATTGTCAGGTATGATATCCAAATTCTTTGGGAACTAACGTGCGTAGTTTGCAACAAATTGATCTTCCACCAAAATTTCTAGAAGGCATCTTCATAGATTATCCTGAAATAGTGAGCATAAAGCTCACAGAAGACTAATTGGCCAATTGCCATACCCAGACCACTGAAATTGTTAATTATGTCAAGTCCAACCTCTCCCTACTTTATTAGAAGGATATATACGGTACTCTACTCTTTGCAACCAACCTGCAAGACAGAGAGAAATCCCATTAGATGAATCCCTTATGTACAGTGCAAAATACTAGTTGTAGGTTGCTTTGAGCAATAAGCTATGGTCCATTGTATTAGATAATTAATTAGAAGCGAATGAACAAATTCATCTATCCATCTAGATTGCCGGTAATCTTATTGTCATTTAGACCCTCCCACGGCCCACCCGTTTCTAGATGAATAGTGGGACAAAGAAATTGTGGTAGATATATATTGATTAAGATTCAACGCAATGCACAGCTAGAGGATTTTTCTGCCATTAACTCGCCTCGTCTTGCACATGCCTAAATCTGCCAAAACATTTGTTCTCAGCCTCTCAACCTGCTGCGTTTGCCAAACGATGTCTTGATAATAATAGCAATTTGACTAATTGATCAAGCCAAACAGAAACCTCTCTTCTCATTGAAACCAATCATATGCAAATGTAGCAACGATTCGCTACACTAGGTAACCCACAAGTGAAGCTGGCGTCTGATTGCCCTTCTGAGTTTTGAATATATAAGTGAACGGCTGCCAAAAGGTTCCTCAGCTCAACAATCAGATTCAAGTGTGTTCCATCAAGAAATAAACATTATCTCTCTCCTTTTAACAATTTCAACAATCGAAATGCATCATGATTAGTGCCAAGAAACTCATAAAGATGGCAAGGAAGTGGCAGAGGGTAGCTGCCCTTTAAAGGAAAAAAATTTCATTACCAAGAGCTAACAGAGTTGCAAATGCTAACCAAAGTGGTGTTATTTTGGCAGAAGTGGCAGACAAGGGTCACCTTGTAGTTTACACAGCTGATGAAAGGCGGTTTGCTCTTCCCATTTCATATCTTAACAATTACATCATCAAAGAACTTCTCAAGATGTCTGAGGAAGAATTTGGTCTACCAAGCAATGGGCGTATCAGATTGCCATGTGATGCAACCTTCATGGTATATGCAGTTTCTCTGATTCAACGGCGAGTTGATAGTGATATGCAGCAATATCTGCTTCTCTCTATGTGCAGTAGTAAATGCTCATTATCTTATTCTCTAAATCAAACTAGCCAGCAGATACCAGTCTGTGGTTCTGAACTCATGGCTAAAAGATTTTTTCAATGTCAAAACCGGAAGTAGTTTAATAATTCATCATAGATACTGAAATTTTTTATTACAATACTTGAGATAATTTCTTCATAGGGTTTTTGAGTTTTCCATATTCAGCAGTGTCAAATACTCTGCCTTTTGTTGACGGTAAAGTCATGTTACAAATTGATAATCAGATCATTCAACCGATTATACATCCCAACAAATAAGTGTGAACTAATTATTTGACTATAACAAATCCGATCAAGTCAGTGGTTTTTACCCTTAAGAGAACCTTCGGACTAATTCAAAAAGAAATGATGGAAAATTTTTTAACACTTTCCTTATTGAACTCGAAACTTAGCTTCCTTATTGAACTCGAAACTTAGCTCTCATGTAGTCATTCTTAAGTAGCATCTAGTAAGTCTGGGATTTAAATTCCAGCATAGGGAATCCCCCCTTTTTATCCCCAAGCCTATGCAACCTCTTTGTACGGGAAAAAAAATTACATTTCGTGTTCTTAACAGCTACCCGTCGTCAGGTGAACATTTTGCATATTTCTTTTTGAAGATTTCTTTCAGGTATGAATTTGATTTCACATCATTATGATGTTGAGGAATTAGTGTCAAACCCTTTTCTCACAAGTCATGACTCAGATTATTACAAGCTTGGCATATTTCTACCATTACCAACCAAATTCCATGACTTACTTTTTACATAAAAATTTTCCTAATTGATTTTGTCTGATTAAAATAGATACAACTAGCAGTTTATAACAGTCAGCCAATTGTCATTGACTTCTAAGAGGAAAATTTTTTAATATTTTGAGCAAAACAAAAGTCAGATGTTGTCACAATGTATGCTTTAATTTCGGGTTCATACCCCAAAAACTAAGTCAAATCCTCAATGAAAAAAGTTGAGCAGATAAAACTTTGAATGCTTAAGGTCAAATGAATCAGATAAACTTGAACTGATTGGATTAACAGACAGAGATAGTTTCCAACAAAAACCATTTTTTTTTTTCTTTAGTCAAATCTTCAAGGCCCTAAAATTTACACTTGGTGAACATATGGCAGTTAATTTTTATGAAAATCTGTGTCTATTAAGAAAACTATTGGCTTTTGTAACTAACTGTTGGTTTTATCTAATTTTATGTCATGCCCCAAAAATCCAATTAAGCAGCCTGGTTTGGTTGCATGGGAGCATGACAAGTTTCTTTTCCTAGTACTTCAGTTGCCTGCCTAATTTGACTTCAACTTTTTTTTTTTTTCTAAAAAAAAAATTTGAAGTAGTAAAGAACACCAGAAACACAATATTTAACGGAAATATCACTTTATCAATTTAAACATAAACCCCTATGCTTAACTTAATATTAAAAAATCTCAAACGTGAAAATTGAGCGATTTGATTGGCATACCTTCAAATTAACCATCTTATAGCCCACTTTCTTTGATTACAAAACAGGGGATTTTGATACCTTACAATAGACATATATGCATACATACATATATATACATATATATATAATACTATATAATATTTTCTTTTCAAAAATGTCGGGCGTTACTTGTTCTAAAGGCACCGTAACCCAACTAGACAAATTGGGGACACAATTGACTAGAAATTACTTGAGGATATTTGATAAACTCAAACGGATTTGAAACTAGATAAAAAAAAAATACCTACTGGTTGGAAAATGCAGTGCATCTTAACTATTCTCAAGCTTTTTCCATCATAATCTTGCATGTTAATGCATCTTAAATGCTTTATGTAAGGACTAATTCCAAGTCAAATCCCAGATAAGGATTAAAGCAATTTCTCAGTTATTGCTTAATGAATATGTAATACTTGTCCAAAAAATTTTGGTAGGCTACTTTCAATGACCGGCGGTGCTAAAGTGTGACCAAAAAATTTTTTTCATGGGTTGAAAAAAAAGTGTGCCCCGGCTGTCTGCAATAGAAATTTTAGCATCCTTTTTTCTAAAATCAACTTGTTCTCATTGTCAAATATTAAATACTGTTTATGCAGCTTTAAGACCAAACCACAAAGCACAATCAATGCTTTGAATCCAAGGTCTATATATAGGCAATTTTTTTAGTTCATACTTTGTGGGAGAACTGAAGGGGAAATTATCAAATTATTGCAGAGGAAAATATATTCTAGTGCAAGGAGGTGAGGACTTGATTGGATAGTAAAATGGGTGACGTTAATGAAATAGGCTCCAACCCTGCAACACCAAGACCGGCTTTTGTGGCACCAACACCGCCAATATCAGCTCCTCCTTCACAGTTTCATTCTCCTTCTCTTTCTCGATCACCACTTCTTTCCTCAGTTGATCATATACAACCTGCAAACAAAACTCCCAAGAATTCAACCCCCAGGATTAGAACTCCACGATTTATTACTCCTTTGGGAAGTCCAATTAGAAGGGCTCTTCAGCTTACTAGGCTTGATCCTCATGATGCTTGGCTTCCAATCACTGAGTCAAGAAATGGAAACGCTTACTACGCTGCGTTTCATACCCTTTGTTCAGGAATTGGTATTCAAGCCCTTGTGCTCCCAGTTGCTTTCACAATTCTTGGGTGGTAAGTAATCAATTACATTTCAATTTTCATGGTGCAAGTGCAACGGGTTCACTTTATTTTATTAGCGGTCAAAGTAACAGGTTATCTTTTTTGTTGTTGTTTTTCAGGACTTGGGGCATTATAAATTTGACTGTGGCCTTCATATGGCAACTTTACACCCTATACATACTGGTGCAACTCCATGAATCTACTGAAACCGGAATGCGTTACAGCAGATACCTGCAGCTTTGCGGTGCAACTTTTGGTAAAGCTCAAACATAAAACTTTACCTTACTAACTAAATATAAATATTGAAGTCAATAAGGTCTTAAAATTCTCAATTGTCTTCCAAACTGCCCTCTGATTAGCCAATGCAACAATATTGCTGCTTTTAGAACCATATAAAATATTCTCTTCATCTGCAAAACAAGTAAAAATTCAAGTTAATATTGATTGTAATCCATGAATTCAGGTGAGAAGTTAGCAAAGTGGCTGGCTCTGTTTCCCATCATGTACCTATCAGGAGGAACATGCGTGGCCTTGATCATCATTGGCGGCTCAACTTCAAGGATGTTCTTCAACATTGTATGTGGTGGAACATGCACTGCTCATCCACCAACCACCGTAGAGTGGTACTTAATATTCACTTCTGCTGCAGTCCTTCTATCTCAGCTGCCTAATTTGAACTCGATAGCCGGTGTGTCACTCATCGGAGCCATCACAGCTATTGGGTACTGCACCCTAATTTGGGTTATTTCAGTTGTTGAGGGAAGAATGCCAGGAGTATCATACAATCCAGTTAAAGGAAGTACGCAAGTTATTAGGATTTTTGACGTTCTCAATGCACTTGGGATCATTGCTTTTGCTTTCAGAGGCCACAATCTCATACTTGAGATTCAGGTAACTTTTCTTATACCATTACATGTTATTTTCAAGATTAGTGATCTTCAATTATTATGTTTCGTATAATATTATAAGTCACTATGATTTTATATCACTATAATTGCTATTATATGAAAAAATAAATTATAAAATATCCAAAATAATCTTGTAAAAAGAAAGCAAAAAATTTAATACTTATTGAATTAATAATTTATAAAATAGTTCAATATTATTTTATAAAAAACTATAAAATATAAATCAATTTTGATGAAAAATAATTTTTTAGAAAATTATTAAATAATTTTATTATTTTTATAATCAATAAATATTTATTCAATTGTAATAATTTTTTAAAAAAATAAGTTATTAAAAATATATTTTTTTGAAAATTTTTATTAATTATTTTTCTAATACAATTTAAGTGCATCTTTCATCAAGATAAATTAATCAAAAAATTATATTAAAATTTATTTTCTTATAGCAATAAAATTTTTTCATCTTTTAAATTGAAAATTATTTCACACCTCAAAATAATAATTTTATCACCTAATAATTTAAAATTATTATCACGTAAAATTTTTAAATTATTATTAAATAAAATAATATAATTATTAAATATAAATCATATTAATTTTTTAACAAATTGGTTCGTACCAAACATTTTCTTAAAAGCTCCTTTATGGTCAAAGTAATTAAAATTCTTCTAGATGTTGACCATCTGAATCATAACCCATTAGGCGTTTTTTTCTTTTTTCCTTTATTCTTATCCTGGAAGGCAGCCTAACAAGTAAGAAGTCTTTGCGTGCTAGAGTGCAATAGCCAAGCCATGAATTTCTACGTTAGGAAATAAAATACTCAATTGCTAGAAAAAGTTGACACTGGACCACAAAAATAAATTTTGATCATAAGAATATCTGTCAATATCCCATTAAACCATAAGCCGAAAATATTGAAATTTAGCAATCAAGAATGGCCAAATTTCTGAAGAACATTTTTGTTTTGGTTGCAGGCAACCATGCCCTCGGACGAGAAGCATCCCTCGCGCGTGCCAATGTGGAAGGGAGTCAAGGTTGCATATACACTTGTTGCATTGTGCTTATTCCCTCTTGCTATTGGAGGCTACTGGGCTTATGGTCAAAATGTACTTTATTTTCTCTGTCAAAATCTTTTTTTACAATTGATTTCTCAGATTTAATACATTAAATGTTATCTAAACCAACAAAAAAAAAAAATGGTTTTCCTTTCGACAGATACCAAAAGATGGGGGCATGCTAACAGCCTTGTATGCATTCCATGGCGAAGACACCTCCCAGTTCATACTAGGATTAACAAGTTTATTCGTCATAATCAACGCGCTAAGCTCATTCCAAATCTATGGCATGCCAATGTTCGACGACATGGAATCCAAACTCGTTAGGAGGATGAAGAAGCCATTGCCATGGTGGCTCCGAGTAATTTTCCGGGCTATGTTCGGCTATGGATGTTTCTTTGTGGCAGTGGCAATCCCCTTCTTAGGAAGCTTGGCTGGTCTAATCGGAGGGATAGCATTGCCAGTGACCTTAGCTTATCCATGCTTCATGTGGCTTAAGGTTAAAAAACCAAAGGTTTTTAGCCCAACATGGTGGCTAAATTGGGTGTTAGGTGTTGTAGGGATGGCTCTAAGTGGGGTTTTGATTGCGGCCGGAATTTACGTTGTCATTGATACTGGTATTGAGGTTAGCTTCTTCAAGCCTCACTAATAGGTAAATTGGTATGAGGGTGTGATTAGGTCAAACAAAACAACTACTATTATTATATTTGTTATAGATCCTATTTGTAATAGTGAAATTGGTTTTCCACAAAAAAAAAAAAATGCATTTAGCTTCAACTCCTTCTCTACATTTTTTTTTTAAAAGAATTCTAATTCTCGGATATGATTACGTGAAAATGATCACGAAAATTTGACAAGATTAATCTATAATCATAAAATATAAATTGAAATCAAATGTATTAATAAACTTATATTTATTTAATTAAAATATATAAAGAATTTTTTTTATTTTGTTTTATAATTAAGATTAAATTACTCCACTGATCAAGTAATAGATAAAATCTAAGCAAAAACAACTTCATGTTTATCTTCCAAATATCGAAAAAATATAACTGATTAGTATAGATTGACAATTCGTATCATTGTATCATATTTTATATTAAAGACGATTTTAAAAGTAACATGAATAATTTTGATGTAAATATGAAATAAATATTTAAATGACACAAATAATTTAAATATAAATACGATACATTTATTATACGTGTTACATGTGATATAATATAATTAATACGTTTAAAATTAATTTGTTTAACGTAACTCAAGTAACACAACATAACATAATTTACACGATTAAACACAAATAACACAATTATACACTATTAATCTATTGATTTAAATGAAAAATTATTTAAATTAGTATTTAAATAAAAAATTATTTAAAAATTAAAAATTAATAATTTATTTAAACAAAATAAATATGATTATTAATTTATTTAAGAAATAAACTAAAATAATTTTTATAATTTATATATTTTATATGCTTGCATGAATAATATTATGTTTTAAAATTATCTTAAGAGTATCATTATTATTTGACTTGAATATAACATAAATAATATAATATTTTAATCGTATTGATAGAATTAAGACACAAAATACGATTACATTAAATTTATATATAATTTTTTTTACGTCCTATTATCATATCGTATTTTAAAATTATTAAATCTATACTTAAACAATCAACTTGCTGAAAGAGAGGAGCCAATTAAAACAAATTTAATCATAAATGAACATAATTCATCTTGTTTCTTCGGCAAATCTCAAAATTTACATTGCAAAAGACTAGGATCTATATATTCAGAGTTCACCATCCAAGTCCAAAGTTTAAAGCATCAAAGGAGCATTCATTCAGAGATTTTAAGTACCTGGAATTCTTGGGAAATTAAGATTTCAAAAAGCAAAAATGTGAAAACTCAGGTTGGTCATGTTAGATGCCTAATACTACAAGTTTACGTACAAATGGAGATGAGCATTCACTGATAAATACATGAATCTGTCAAATTAAGGGCCTTCCCAAGTTTGTTTCCTCTGAGTGTGACAGAGCATCTGAACCGGCCATAGAACTTGGTCTTCACCAGTCTGCCCAAAATGTAGGCCCTTGACCTCATCACAAATGTCAGGTTCAGAGGCACTGCTAAGCTGCCCATGTGCTCTCTGGAGTTCATAAGAACCGGTATCCCACCATATAATGGAACTTGATTCCCTTGCACAATTGTCACCACTTTCCGCTGACTCTTTCTTGATTGAGTAAACTTCTTCATCTATTTCATAAACAAAACATCATCATAAACCTCAAAGTGTCTTAAGAAACTAAAGCCGAGTGGCTGTCCAAAAGCCAACCATCTTTTAAGCTTTAATCAAACCCGAAAAGTGACAATATTAAGAACCCAGTTTCAAACTTTGGAACATTCCTTGCTATCCTAGAGGATGAACTGTGCACTATGTATTGTTCCAACCTTGGAAGACAGCTAAGCAGCAAAGATTCATGTGCCATGTGCGAATGCCATAGTGTTTCTCTGTGTTGGACCCTCTGTGGGGGACCCATTGTGATTATTTTAGGTGCAGTCTTTGCAGCCTTTTTAAGGCACTCGATTAAAGACATCCAGTAGCATTCAAAGCCCTATGCTAAAATTTTCCCACTTCTCTAGGCTGCAAACTGCTAACCCAATAAGTCTTTTGACCCAACCAAAACAGGGATTCAAAAAAAGGATTCCACTTTTACCTGTCCAGAGGCAATTTTGAGCTGGAAATGGTGAAGCTCCCATGGGGTAGAGGTGACATGGACGGCATAGAAAGTAGCTGGATTTCTGTATGAAATCATGACCGTTGAGTTAAGTGAAAGCATATCAGTTGGCACCCCCGACTGGTCGGTTCCTGCCTGATAATATAAGTTCTCGAACGCTATGTGCTGCTCACAAACCAGTACACATTGTTTAGAGAAAGTAGTGATTTATTTAGTAAAAATTACAATTAATAAATTGAAAAAAAAAAAAAAAAGCTCAAATTGCGGGATTAAGCAATTAAAATGGCGCCTATTCCATATTCCTAGCCCCTAGAAATCTGTAAATGCCCATTCCACGAAAAAACTCGTGAACTGAGTCACTGAGTTGACTCATATCGAAGAGAAAGAGTTTATAATTTCATCAATGGAAAGAAAAATCCTTCTTTTCTTTCAGTAACATTAAATGCTCGGTGCCTACTATGTTTTCCTAATGAAAAATTAAAGGTTAATGATTTACAGAATAAAAACAACTATAATCACAGAGTTCACCCAAAAAGAAAAGCCCACCAAGTACAAAGAGATGGGTGACAATTGAGTCAACTCACAGAAAAACCAATGTGCCAAAAAAAAAAACCTGACCTTAACGAAGATTTTAGGCTTGTAACTCTTGCTAGCACCCCACAAGATCAAGGAGAACACCGTAAACAGCACAAAAAACAAGAAAACGAGGCAAAGATAAAGCCTGACGTTAGTAGCCCTGCGTCCATTACGACCGTCCATTGCATCATCGTCGTCGTCGTCGTCGTCGTCATTATCGACATGACCAATCCGCACATGCTTCCAAGCAGAAAGACTCCTCGGGTTCTTAAGAGAAGCCGAGAACCTTGACGTAGATGACTCCCTGGAATGGTGAATGGGAGAGCAATGGTAATAATGGTGCATTGGTGAAGCTGTGGGGCTTGACCCATATGACATCTTCTCAACGTCATGGTTCGAGGGGCTCTGGACATAGTAAACAGGCCTCCTGGGTGACCTTGGTGGCCATGACGCATCAATACTCGTTCCTTCTGAATCCGTTTTTGCATGCATTTTTCTGGTCTATCACTCTGAGATCGACAAAGAAGAAGAATAAAGCTATGGGTTTTTGAATACAAACGAGAAAGGAAACTGAAGCAAAGAAAAGGAAGAGACAGAGATGGCTTTCGACTTTCAAGTTTTTGGAGTCACGAGACACGAAAATTGTTCCATTTATTGTCTATGATTTTCCATTTTGTATTTTTCCTTAGGAAGAAATATAGAAGAAAAAAAAAGTGGCATGCTGGGCTCACTTGGGTGCCATTCTTGGCCCACCAAATAGATTTGACTATTTTAAACATTTTAAACATAATACATTATATAAAAATAATATGAATAAAAATAAAAAAATAATATAATTTAAAATTTTAATAAAAATAAAAAATATATATTTATATATTATGATATAAATTTTTATATAAAATATAATATAAATATACAAAACTTTAATATTTTATACATTATAAATATATAAATTATCAAATTTATAGAAAATAAAACATCCACCGTCGTTAATGTTCATCATTCGTCAATGAATGCCAAGGACCGTTGCCGCAGGTAGGCCCATTGCACTTGCCTTGCAATTAATATTATAAGCATTTAATATATATTATTTATCAAATATTGAAAACAAAGTTTATTAATATATAATGGTACGAGATTTAATTTAATTATTCTTGGACTGTAATTAAAATTATTCTTGTTTGATAAACTTATTAGTTAAGAGTTATCTAAAAATTTATTATCCAAAAAAAAATTAACAAAAAAAGAGCATATATCTACATTAAAATCAAGTTTATCAATAAAGATAATGAGATGAGATATAGTTATTCATGAATTCTAATTACTAATTTTTTAATAAATTAATCCATTAAGAGTTACCAAAGAATCATTATCTAAAAAAAATGTATTCTAACAATAATTTAATATGATTAAAACTCTTTTTTGCACAAAATTAATCTTATTAACAAAATTTGAAATTATAATAAATAAATTTTAATTTAAAAGGGCAATTTAAAAAAATTAATGAATAAAAATATTCATTTAAGATATCCACTTAAACCCACAAAACCAACCACATTAGGCCAAAGTTGGGTCAAATCATTAAACTAAAGCCTGGACTTAAAATATCATATTCGGCCCATGGCTCGGGCCTCGGAGCCAAGACCTGATACAAAGAGAAGGGCGGTTCTGCCATCTGGGTCAACAGCAGCAATATCACGCCAATCATCCTCAGCTGCTAAAAGTTCTGCCAAAGCCTTGTCGTCAGCTTTCTTAGCCGTTGTCCACCATGGGGTTTCATATTCTGCCACTACTTCCTTTGGCTATGAAATCTTGTGGAACCCATGAAGGGGCATGACCGTCTTTCCATTCTATAAGTATTCCATATATTTCCCACTTGGAAGAGCCTATGCCGACGATTCATCATGGGAATCATCCGCTTTATCTTTAAGGTTTGCTTGGAATGTGTTCCTTGTTTCTTGGAAGTTTTTTTTTTCTTGGTTTTGGACCCCAAAGAGAGCAAAATTTTTGTTGGGTTTGACGTGAGTTGTTGTCGTAGAAATGAAGTGGAGGGTTTTGGGAAAGATCGAGACGAGATAGAGATTGGTTTAACAAGAGAGTTCCCATGTTTGAGATTGGTCGTGTTGTAAAGGAACAAGTGAGTTCGAAGAGTTAGAGAAGTAAAGTGAAGTGGCGATTGCAGCTTGGTTACTGGCATTGGCATGTTGTTGGGTGTAATCTTGAGAAGGGGAAGTTTTAGGATAAGAAACGCCATCCATTTTCTTGATAGCAAATTTTTAGGCAGCTAGGTTAAATTCTATATTAAAATTCTTTTCAGTTTCTATTTTGAGCTGATCATCCCTGATTTCAGGCTGAAAATTCAGTGATGCTTCCCTGAGTGCAATTCTTTATCACAAGTCACAACAACAACACAGCTAAGCAGCTAAATGGACGGACTATCCATAAAAAATGCATTTGTTAGCATGATATGAATATGGATATTCGACTAACAATCACTTCAATGAAAATTCACAAATATGAAAACTCACTGTCATCATTCTGTCAGCAGCCAAAAGAGGCAGGTCGGCTGTTAGTAATTTGAAGTTCCAGAAATCCCATTACATTGCATCTCCGCGTAAAATTATTTCCTTACCATTTTCAACCCCGGTGAATTTAACCCCCCGCAGGATTCCCTTTTCTCCTGATTTCCTACTTTAATTTCCACCCTAACAGGGACATTTTGGTCTCTATATTTGACATGTAGCCTACCTTTCAAATTCTTACTGGACAGTTTATGAATGAAAGCCACATTTTGGACATTTTGGTGGGTCAATCACCACATTCATGATCCCCAACTATGCACACTATAAAAACATGATACACTTCAACCAACCAACCCGAAACCACTCATTTCTTCTCTCATTTTCTCATTTTCTTCTTCTTTTTTCTTTTCTCAAATCATTAAATCTTTTTGTATTGGTTTTATTAGTTTATTCATTCATTTGTTCGTTGTTTTTGGCAGAGGTTGACCTTTTGGGAGATCCCTTTTTGGCAATGCACTTTAAATAAGTCACGTATCGGTTACTAGAGACCACATTGAAGTATCCTGTCCTGTAAAGGCTGTAACCTTTTTCTTTTAGGTTTACCGAAGCCTGTCTAGCTTCCTCGACCTTCTATATCATCAAACTGCACTAAATCAAATCCAATTCTCTTCTTCTCCATCAGGACCATCACAAAATGATGCTTAAAGGGTCCAGCTCTAGGGTATAGACTAAGATGTGCAATCTTTGTAGTTCTTGCTGTTGTTATTGTTCAGGCTGAGGATCCTTACAGGTTCCCCAACTGGAATGTTACTTATGGTGATATTTCCCCACTTGGGGTTCGCCAGCAGGTTTGTAAATTAATATATAATATGCTATCAGTTATTTATTAATTTCTTTTTTATATCTGGGTTTAGCTGTTCTTCTGAAAGAGACGTTTTATTGTTTTTACAGGGAATTCTTATTAATGGACAATTTCCAGGGCCTGATCTCTATTCTTTACAAGTGAAAGATCAAATTGACAGCTTTTTCTATTAATTCACAGGTTCTGTATTGCTCAAAGAAAAAAATTATATATTAAAATAAAGGTAATAACATGTCGAATCTTGTATGACCTATTAATAAAATGTTGAATTTTTAATTTCAATGATCAGAATTCAAATTTTTTTAATACTAAAAAAAGGTAATAACATGAAAAGAAAAAGAGTCAAACATAGAAATAACGTGCAAAGAAAAGCCAATTAGGTCAATTAAACATAAGGAAATTTGTAAACAGATGAAAGATATTGCCTTGTGTCTATCATAAATCATAGAAAAGCCAATTATCAATAACAAGAAGGAACGGTTCAATAAAAGGTCAATCCGGCCTTGGAATATTACATTCCACCTAACGGAGAGTAATATAACCTTGCAGTTTTGACCATCTCTACGGTATTTCCAATATAGATTCCTAGGATTGCTTTGCATATAAATAGTTTGTAGAATGAAGCTACTACCAAAATAGAGAGAAAAGGATTTAAGGAAACGAGTTATTTTGCTCAATTTCCCATGGCTAAATGTTTGGTCTTTGTCTTGTCGTTGGTCATAGGTATTCTTCAATCAGCAACTGCAGAGGTGCCAGCCATCTTCATACTAGGAGATTCTACAGCTGATGTTGGAACCAAAAATTACTTGCCTGGAAGTACTATAAGAGCTATGTTAGTGTGTTAGTGGTTGAAGCAACTAGGTATGGCATTTTTACTTACACTTTTGTAATAGGTTCTGCCATCTGATCAATTTAGATAACATGATGGATCTGTGCATGGTGATCCATACTGTTAGGCAAACAACTCTTGTAGTAGTTAAACAAACTTTTGTATGTTAAAGCCTATATATTAATGAAATGAAGCTCATGATCTGCAGAGCCAATTTACTTCAAATGACAGATTAGTTTCTTCTTTTTTTTGTTCTTCCTTTGCTCTAAATCCTTCAATTGGTATTAGAGCATTCTTTAAGGTCTTAGAAGACCTGTGAGTTTCAAAAAATTGAGTGAAAAGCCATCAAACACTTACCAGCCAGCTTTTGTCAACCTTAAATGGCCTCAAGCAATTGCTCCATACCTCCACCTCTTATTTTTTCTGGTGAGAACTACCAGATATGGGCTGTCAAAATGAAGACTTATTTAAGTGCTTTTGATTTGTGGGAAGTGGTGAAAAATAAGAAGGAACCACCACAACTTCCTGCAAATCCAACAGTAACTCAAATGAAAAATTATAGTGAAAAAAAAGCAAAGAGGTACAAGACTAAAAGCTGTATAGAGTCTTCAGTTTCTGATAACATATTCATTAGAATCATGACTTGTGAAACTGTAAAACAAGCTTGAGATGTGCTTATGGAAGAGTTTCAAGGCAGTGACAAGACAAGACAAATACAAGTGTTGAATCTTAGAAGAGAGTTTGAAGTCTTAAAGATGAAGGAGTCTGAAAATTTAAAGCAGTACAATAACAGACTCATGAAGATAGTAAATAAGATTAGATTACTTGGTGAGGAGCTGTCAGACAAAAGAATTGTAGAGAAGGTTCTTGTCAGCTTACCAGAGAGGTTTGAGTCAAAAATCTCATCCCTTGAAGACTCTAAGGACCTGACCAAGATAACTCCAGCAGAATTGTTCAATGTTTTACAAGCTCAAGAGCAAAGAAGGGCTATCAGACAAGAAGATTCAATAGAAGGTGCTTTTACAGCCAAAGAGAAAGGTAAGATGCAAACAGAAAGCAAAGACAGAAAACAAGGAGAGCAAAGAAATAAAGGTTCTAGAAACAGTGAAAAGAAATGAAAGTTCCCACATTGCTCTCATTGTAAAAAGACCACTCACTTGGAGAAATATTACTGGTATAGACCTGACATATAATGTAGGTACTATAAGCAGCTTGGTCACATAGAGAAGGTATGTAAAAATAAAAAACAGCAGTAGTCAGATCAACAAGCCAGAGTTGC